GCCATGACATATATAGTGTGGCTACAGACTGAGCATCAACTGAAGTCCACAAGGAGAAATCAAAATTAGCAAATTCCTGAATTGTGATTCTTTTGTTACTTGTCTTTACAAGGCTAACTACCAGGTGGGTTGTCTGGAGGTAGAAGTGTTAGCAGATACAAGATTTGACTTTTTAAAAGTCTGCAGAAATTCAAACCTATTTTCATTTACTTGTCATCATGTACAGATCTGACTTTTAACTTTAAAAAGGCAGCGGGGGGGCAGTTCAGCTTTGAAAACAGAAGAGTGAAGAAGACCATAATTTATAAATTTGCAATGTGTTCTGCCTTGTTGGAGACATTAGCCCATGTTTAGTTCTAGGTCACCTTATATAAATAGAGTATTGATTTGTATGCATTCTGCAGCCTTGCTATACCATGGTTTGCTACAACACTGGTATTCAGCTTCACAGAGGCCATTTTGCGCCTCATCCGAAGTTGAGTAATTAATCAGAATTTTTACATGACCTTGTAATGAGGTCCCTCCCTTAAAAGACGCCAAACGACCACACAACAGTGAGGTTTCTGTGTGCATATACACAATCTATATGCAGAAAAATGTGTGCACCAATCAATCCTATGTGACTGTCAAATAAATATTATTTGGGTTAAGATTTTTCATTTCTGATTTGGATAGAAAATTGCTATTAATCTTGTATTAAAATAGTTTTTAAAAATTGACCTGTCTGTTCTGTATTTTCTTAATTTCCGTAGTTTAAATTGCACATCTTTTTTATTTTTGTTTGTCTGAAACCTTCTTAAAAGCTGCAATAGTAAAGTAATAAGATTACAGATAGCATGGATTAGCCAAGCGCCGTTCACTTAAAGTACACTTAGCCCTGGAAATCTTGAACTTTCACAACTTGGGAACATTTAGAACTTCCTAAGTGTATGAAAAAGCCCACGTTTCTTTTCTGTATTGTACTGTGCTCTAAAATACCAGTGAATGGCTTGAGAATTAATGTCAATATTCTATCAATGAAATCAGAAAAAAATAAGTGTGAGTCAACTAACCATTTCCACCTTCAGAAAATTGCATTGATTGTGTTTTTCTGGAAGGTTCCCATATTCTCAGGCCTGCCAAATAGTATGTATCATGATACAGATTCATTTAACAGAGACTTCATGAGTTCCTATACAGTTGTCAGGCTGACTCTGACTTATGATGACCCCAGGTGTGTCCAGCAGCGCTGGGCTCCGTGGGATTTGCAGTGGCTATTGATTAGCAAGGCGGGCGTCTCACCTTCCTTTGCCTACATACTGTTACTGCCTGTCCAGATCACCATCGGGAAGTTACCATGTTTTCACCCTGATAGCAAACACTATTTGTCTTTTGGAAACCGTACAACCCCTTTACATGTTAGTTTCCACATTATAGACATGGGTGCTTTATTTGCATCACTAAGGTATTCATTGTTTAACACAGGTAATGGTGCTGATTACAAATGCATGGCTTATTTCAAACATGCTGTTATAAATGAAATGAACCAACATGAAGATAACAAAAATGCTGCCTCTAACTGTAACCATACTACGATTTCCCTGCCATTACTACTAATTCAATTTTTTTACCAAGATAAGAGATTTCTAATAAAATGACTAAGACACTTTAAGATAGTTCTATCTCCAAAAGAATGATACATAATGAATTTTACTCCCAAATAAACGGAGACCAATTTCATGGGAAGGAAAAAAGTTCAAGTGGTTTTAGGGGAAAAATATAAAAAACCACTTTTATCAGGTAGCAATAATATTTATCTATTTTAATTTGCTCCAGGGGAAAAGATGTTGAGATACGGTTTTAATACAGGCACTCCTATGAAAGACGACAGTGATTTCAAAAACACCAACTTTTAAAATAATGGATATTACACATGCAGTGTTGATTAGTGTCCTAGACTAGAAAGATGCGTTCACAATCTTGGAGGTCTACTCCCTTGATCTTCATGGCATTTCCGTTCCATAGATACCTTTGCT